GTCCCGGCGGGTAGAATCAAGGTCCCGGGAGGGGGGGAAAAGGGGGGGGGTTTCCTCTTACCTGGCTTGGGTACTCCCGCTGGGCCACCCTTTTCCCAGATAAAGGGGGGGGGGGGGCCCTTTGGTTTTTCGGGGGCCCGGACTCCCCAGTACCCCCGGCGCCAGGAAAAGGGGGTTTTCGTGGGCTTAGGGGGGGGGGGGGGGGGGGGGCAGGCCCACAGCGCAGACCGCCAAGAGAGAGCGGTTCTCAATCGCGCTTGTGCTCGCCCAAAGCCCGAACCACGACATCCCGAAGTAGCCAGAAAACCGTTGTTGTGCCTGGTGCTGTTGTGCCTGGTGCTCATCGCACGCTTGATAAGCGACCACGTAGTCTATGCTGAACCGTATCGTGTCGGCTCACCTGTGTGGGGTGAGGGAAAAGACAATGACGTAATTTTGTTCCCTCGAATCTGAAAACACATAAACTCCGGGGAGTAAATGATGCGTCCCGCTCCGTGTCCTCTGTTCGGCTACACGGACCCACGCAAGAAAGCGGGAACTGCTACTGCTGTCGGCAAGGCATCATCCGATCTCACCGCGTGTCCCATACAACGCGTTTACCGCTAAGCTGCTGCGGTACGAACGAGACACACCGAACACTCTTGTGTTTGGTTTGCTAGACAACAACAAAAAAAAGAAAAAAGAAAAAAGAACAAAAACGAAAAACAATAGTGACAACAAACCACAAGCTGGCAATAGCCTCCTCCGTGCGTACGCGCGAATGGGAAAAAGCCAAGCGAAAGACACCAAGTTTAACTTCTCTCAACCCCGAAAGCAACCTAGACGTACTACGTTCCCTACCCCCCCACCCCACCCCACCCAAAAGATCGACGAAACGCAACATTCTTTATTTTCTGATTTTGTTGAGTGAAGAGAGTGTGGGCACACACGGGGCAAGACCGCGAGGCCGCCTTCTCCATACTGCGCGACCCCACCACCAACCGCTGCGTGATCAGTAATCAGCGAACGCCTCAAGGTGCCTGCCTGCGAAACCTGGACGTGACCCGGCTTAGCAGGAAGGCGAAAGGGTCTCTTGAAATTCACCTCGGCAACGTGCGATTACACACCCCCGTCCCATTCCTCCAGGGAGCGTAACCCCCACCCCGCCGTTATGCTATGTACTAGCGGAGACGATCCGTTCTTTTTGAAGCCTGCCTGCCTACCGTCGCCTCCTGGGCTGCCCTGCCCCCTTTCCTCCTGCACGGTCCGAAGCAAACAAAAACACATACAGCCGTCGTAAACTGGTGACGAGCACAATGGAGTCAAGGGATGTTTGGCGCAAGAGTGTCCCACTGCAGGGACTTCATTCTAGCATAGGAGCAGGCACCAGGAATGCTACGCGAAATGGTGTTGTGTGTTTTCCATTCCTGCAGGTACGCTAAATCCGTAGACTAGGCCCTGTCGTCCAATCTCCTCCGCGGCTCCCCCCCCCCCGTCGGACATAGAGAGCATGTTGGCGTTATTTTCCCGTTCTGACTGGCATTATTTTATTGGTCAGCCCGCTAGCGCGCTCGGTGCTCGCTAACTTCAGGAACACAAATACGCGAGAGCATGCCACCCAATCACTCGAGATAGTTCCACGCGATCACGGAATAAAAAACGGTCATTTTTAGGGCTAGACTTGTTGAATAGCGGAAAAATCTTCAGTAGAGGGGGGGGCACTGGGTCTCCCTACATAGCGTTCAAAGAGAGCAAGATCAAAAATAGAGAGTACGCAAAGTGGGCACACGCGTGACTCTTGTGCAATGGGGAAAAAAAGCAACGTTCTTCCCCAATTGGCCACGCTTTCAGTGCTTATTCAAAAAATCTGTCAACATAGTTAAGAAAGGACGGCGGTAGCCAGCACAACGGAGCCAAACGATCAGGTTGTGTGTGAAAGTAAACAGACAACACACATGCAGGATCACATAACAGCAGTCTCAGCGCTGGCGAATGTGTCTTCGCACGTTCCGAGGACAGCAGCACATTGGCGCCGTTGCCGTTGCCGTTACCGTTACAACTTGGACGGGTTGATTCGGTAGGTGTGTTTGTATGCATATTCTCCAAAACAACACCGCAACAACGCACCCCTCATGAAGGCCCAACTGACGGAGATGTCTTGCTCCAGGAGCTGTGACCCGTCCATCTCGTCGATTGCCGACTGCGCCTCCTCCTTTTTCTCAAACTCGACCAAACAATACCCCTGCACATCACAGCGCAACGACAGGACGGCGCAGCAAATGCGCGGCATAGCGCACGCACAGCCGCAAGAATAGTCAGTAGAAAGCGAGGCCGAGCGATTGCTCTGAGTACAGTGGGAGGGCGTTAACAACGCCGGAAAAATAACCCCGGTGGCCCTGTATACATAGCGCAGGTGAAATTGTTGGGCACAGACTGAATGACCAAGCCAATCTGTACATTGAATAGCGCCGGTCCGCCTCGATGGCGCCTGTCGATTCGCCGGGCACATACCGGCATTAGTTATTGAGAGCCTCACCACTGCAGTAATGTTTTGTGGGTGTGAACAATACGCGTTATTTCTGCTGTACATGTGGATGGAAGCACGGCACACAACGACCAGAAAAGAAACATACCATGGTAATCAAGAGAACAAGTGGAGAACGCGATTTAAGGCGACAAGCGGGATGCTTTGAGCCGTCACCCCATTGCCCCGTTCTTCTACCCGTGGTTGTCCTTCATATCGAGCGATCGCCAACCCTAACGCAATGAACGGCGGGGTTCGAGACTATCGTCGGTGGGGTTCGAGACCACCGTTCGATCTCCCTGATGCCCCCCTCCCCCCCACTAGCCCCGGTTATCAGTGTATTGCCGCGCAAAGAAGCGTCTTTCTCACTTGGTCGCAAAACACGTGGCGACAGCCTGACTAAGGCTTGAGGGCGCACTGGGGATCGCAGTACCTCCTCTGAAGAATCCAGGAAACGCCTGCATATCTCGGTTTTCCAAAGTCTAACTTCAGTACGAAACTTCCATCGCAAATTAACCGTCCGCTGACCCCCCCTCGTGTACAATGTTAGTAGCTGAGATTGTAGCCCATGCGATACACTACAGACTAGCGGTCCGCGATTTTCCAAACGATCCTTCCATCATCGAGTTCGGTGAGCTACAAGCTAGATTTTTGAAGCTGCTGTGCGGTCC